TTCAGAGCAGCAAAAACAGGCTTTCTGAGTGGGTTGCCAGCGACATAGATGCTCTGAGGTCTGGGGCTGGCCAACCTCACATGCCTGGAAAGCCGGAAGAGACGAGAGGAGAGGACAAACCAGCTCTTCATAGAATGCCAGCTGCAGAGGCCCGACAAGGGCTCCGGCTTCCTCCCACCTCACCAGGGAGACACAGAGTCCCAGTGACATTGTTAACAACTACAACTATACCTGACCCTGATCACCCCAAACCTCCCAAGCACTTGAACCAAGAAATCCATCTTTAGCCCCGCCCCCCCACCAGATTCTGTAGTCAGCAAATGCTGGCACTGGTGGCAACATGGTCCTGTCCTATCTGCTAGTCTGTGTCACAACACTCTTAGCAGCTACTGGAGCTATCACTGCTGCCGTTTGTCTGGGCAGGGGTCTTCCAGGTGTTGGTGGTAGTGGTGGTGCTGGGTGGTGATGGAGGAGCCGGCGTGGAAGCTGTAGTGACGGCGACGATAGCGGTGGTGTGAGAGCGACCGTGAGAGGTGACGGTGGTGGTTAAGTGGGGCACGGGGGAGATGATGACGGCCATGGTAAGGGCTTGACGACGAGGACAGCAGTAGTGATGATGACAAGTGGGGGGGTGGAGATGGCAGAGGGTCAAGGTGATGATGGCAATGACAGCCAGGGAGTGGCTCAGATAAAGGGTGGTGGTGATTTATTATTGTAGACTGAGTGTTTATTAATTACATATTGAGCATTTATTATTGTTATCTATTATTGGTATATTGAGTATTATTATATTGAGTCTTTATTAATTATATATTGAGTATTACTTATGTATATTATTGGTATGTTGAATATTTATTGCATTGAGTCTTTATTAGTTATATATTGAGTATTTATTACTTATTATATATTATTGGTATTTTGAGTATTTATTATATTGAGTCTTTATTAATTATATATTGAGTATTTATTACTTATATATATTATTGGTATGTTGAGCATTTATTGTTGGTGATATGGTGGTAGGCGATGGTGGTAGAGATAGGCGATGGAAATGATTGTAGTGATGATGGTGATGGGGGTAGTAGAGATGGTGGTGGTGATGGTGGCAGGGGGGAGTAGATTGTGGGGGTGATGATGGTGATGCTGGAGATGGTGAAGACGGTGGTGGTGGGGTGGTACAGATGATGGTGGAGGTGGTAGAGTGATGGAGATGATCATGGTGATGTTGGCCATGGTGGAGATGATGGTGGTGGGTGTGTAGACAGTGGGGGTGGAGTGATGGGGATGATTATAGTGATGTGGTGATACTGGAGGTGGTGGAGATGACGGTGTGAATGGTGGTGGGGTGGGGTGATGATGCTGGCATATGGGGGTGTTTTGTGTGCCTCAGGACATTAAGCAGCACCCGTGGCCTCTTCCTGAAGATGCTGGGACCTTCCACAGCTGTCACAACCAAAATGTTTCCAGACACTGCCTAATGTCCCCTGGGGCAGAGCTGCACGCATACACTAAAGACACATTAACTCTGTTTGATTCAAGGCTTGCAGGGTGACCTGCCTGCTATCTGGCAACTGTTCTGAGGTGACCAAGTCGTCCTCTGTCCTTCATCAGAACTGCTGGGTTAGAATGAAACCCACGTGTCTCCATGGCAACATCACTCAGTTCCCTCGTGTTCCTTCAGCCTCTTTAGCACACCCCCCCCTCTTCCATCATCCCATCTCCCACTTCAGGCCTGGGGGTGGGATGTGCTCCCCTACCTAGACACAGCTCAGCAGCTGTGAGGATGGCTCTGCAGGACAGCCAGCTCCCCACATCCCACTGTAGTGAGGGGCAGCTTCCCCCGAAGGACCCATCTCCTTCCAGGGGTCTCATCTGCCGCCCACGAGCCCCTGCTTTCTCCCCTCCAATTAGGAGGCCTCCTGGCAGCAGCCAGAGGCAGGAAAACAAGGCAGTTAGTCACTTAGCTTCCCTTATCAACCTGGATCACGTGGCTGGCTCTTTTAATGGCTGTTGCCTTGACAACGGGAAGCCAGTCCCTGCTTGCTCTGGAAACCAAAACAAAATTAAGGGGTGGTGGCAGGGAGGGGAAGGCAAGCTAGGAAGGAGTCACCTCAGAGCTGGTGGGCCTTAGCTGGAGAAAGCAGCATCCCTCTGACAGGGACCCAGCCCCGGAGAAGCGCAGGTGAATATGGAGGATGCTTACACATAGCTTATTCTGCCCACTGAGTCATTTTCATCCCTATTATGACAAAATGGACACTGGAAAAGATAAAGACAGATGCTTTGGGGAGACCTTGTGATTGACAAGCCATTGCAATGCCACATCCTGCAAGCTTGCAGATATATATATATATATGTACATATATATATATATTTTTTTTTTTTGTTCAAATGTCCAGGGCCTGTGCTATGGTCTTGTTATACCAAAATCTCATGCACCTTCTTCAATCTTTTTTTCATTTCACTGATGGGTCTCCTAGGGTCTGTCTCCTCCAGAATGTCTCCCCAGGAGGCCAGGGAACCCTTGTCCTGGTCACTGCTGTGCCTACAGACCATCTGTAGTGAACAAATCCAGGACTCCAGCTCTTGTTGAACTCAGGCCTCCTTTCTGACCCACATGATGGGTGTTGGGTCCTGACAGCTCCCCGGACTGGACAGAGCTCCCAGCCCCACAGGCTCTGTGGGTGGCTGGAAGATGGCACAGCAGGTTTGTACAGCTGCCTGGCTATCTAGGAAAGTCCTCTGTCACCTCTTCCAGGAGAAAGAGGGAGACTGCAGCAGAGGGGTGTGGCTCTTCTGAACCCAGAAGAATAGAGGAAAAATCTGATAATCAGATTTTTAGGTAAATACCTCCCTATCCCTCTAGAGCTGGGAGGTACGCAAAGGCAGCTGTGGCCAGAGAGGTGAGCTTGGAGGACAGATGTGAGAGGTCAAGGATGGGACATCCCCACCACTGGGTCTGTAACCTTCAAACATGGCCCGCTGCTTCTGGGCACGCTATACCCAGTAGGGTAATGGGAATCATGTCACCTCTGCACCTCAGGAGCTTGGATGACCTGGGGTGATCATCCTAACTGGGGCTATCCTTCTTGGCTGTGTGCTGTTAGAAGCCACTGCCCTACTGTGAGCCCCAGTTCTGCAGAGGCCGTTCTCATGAGGCGGCTACGTCTGCAGGGCACAGAGCATAAAAGCCCCCACTGGAAGCTCAGATCCCCAAGTGACCATCCCTGGAGTGACCATCCTCCATAAGTCAGATTTAGAAACTGAGTACTCTACGACTGTGAATCTTATTCAATAATCTGTGGCGTATGGGCTATCCTTGCCTGTCTCGGAGTAAGAGAGCCTACTCCACCCAGGCTCACGTCAAGAAGGTGGCTCACTCCAAAGCTAGTGGTCCTCGGAATCGAGGAATCAAGCAGACTTGTGGTCACAGCACAGGGGGCAACATCCCCACAGTTATTGTAGGAGCACAAGCTAGACTTATGAGGACAAGACCTGGGACACGGGGCCCCATGTGTTCCTCTGCAGAGGGAGAATGGGCTTGTAGTGAGGAAAGGGGTAGCTTATGAATGACCTCGAGGGACCTGGTGGCACAGCTGGACGAGCTGGACTAGGGCGTCTCCTAATTTCCCCAGAGTCCCTCACTCACCCTCTTTCCTACAGTTGTATCCTCCTTTGTCAACCATTTTGCTAACAAAGGGGGGGGGTCACCCCAGGCTCTAACAGCCAAGGAACATTCTTTCCATCCAGGTCTGGGTAAAACTGAGTTGCAGTCTTCCTGCTCTTAACCAAGGGCTTTAAGACCTTTCCCCTGAAAGGCAGGAGTAGAATGTGGGGTTGGGATCTGGATGGTATGTCTTCAAACAGATCTTGACAAAGATGGAGTTAAAAACTTCTAGGCCTTTCAGAGGGATTCCCCTCCCCTTCCCATCTATCTGAAAATTCTAGAATCTGCAACCAGCCCTGGAGCTGGTTCTTTAAGCAAAAAGGAATATGCTACACACACAGAGACACACCCACGAACCCCAAGAGGAAGAAGACGCAGGCAACAGGTCCCAGCCACCAGCTGCCCAGGTGGCTGCCACCAGGAAGGGAGGGCCTCCTGGGTGGCACCCCTAACGCACACACACACACACATGCATCACGCAGGTGTACACACAGGCACAGACACACACACACCCATGCTCAGGAAGCAAGGGACAGACTCCAGCCTGATTCATACATTCACAGCCAAGCAAGGTCTTGGGGTAAGAACCCCAAGATGAAGCTGAGGCAGTGGAGGGGGGCAGGCTGAAGGATAGGGTGGAGACAAAATGCGGAGGCCCACACCACACCACACACCTACACTCAGCCTTACCCACTCACACGAATACACATGTGTAGTCCCACAGGAGCACAGTGTCTCCAAGTGCACATGTGTTTCCCATACACATATGCACAGCCACATGTCTTCGGCTACACCTACAGGCCCATAGACATCTAAATGCCACCTCAGCCTTCTAAACTCTGCTCTCAGGGCCCCAGGAGGTCATGCCTGGGCTCCTAGCTGTCTCCCTCCTCCCTGAGGAAGCAGGCAGCCACTCCTGTCTGTGTGCACGGTAGGCATGCAAGCGGAGGGCAGCTGCCCCATGACCCTCACAGGCTCTCTCAGACAGAGTTCTTGGCACCTAGAGGTGGCTTCAAGGACTGACCATCATGGTCCAAAATTGCACCTCTCCCCTGCCCCGAAGCCTGGTCTGCTTGGGGACATTCCGCATCACTAACGAGGAGCCCCACATCACCTTACCCCACCCCAGGAGTGAGGATCACCCGTCTGCTCCTCCACAAGGAAAGGTCCCACCTAGAATCCTTCCATTCCCACACCTAAAGGGTGTCACACCCTGAAACACCCCAGCCCTCCAGAGCGCCCCTCCCCGCTCCCTACCCTGGTCAGCCATGCACCGACATCTGCCAGCCTGGTGACCCCTGTGGCCCTGTCACTCTGGGCTGGCTGTCCCTACCTCCTTCTTCACGGTTCGCAGCAGCCTCTGGCGGGTCTCGGCCTCTGCGGGACAAGCAGGGAAGCGCGGTGAGCGGCGCAGAGGCCGTGGGGCCTGGCCGCCCTCCCGCCGCCCGCCCGTGCTTACCCGCAGGGACCGAAGCCATGGCTAGAGCTGGTCGGTGCCGGTTGCCGGAACGCGTCCCGGCTCCTCGCCCAGCAGCAACCGCGAGGGGCGGGTCCTACGGGAGCTGAATGACAGACAGCCCAGGACGTGGACGTCAGAACTCTCCCACCCGCCCCGCCCTCAAGCACTCAGCGCCCCCTTCTGGACAATATATAGCAGATAGCATCCTCTCAGGCCTCCATCAAGACAGCATCCTCACCACAGCCTCAGTATCATCCCCCAGCCTCCTCTACGAAACACACCATCCTCACAGGCCTCCTCCAGGGCATCAGCACCATGCCGTGCCAAGTTGCCAAGGGTAACCTGAGATGAGGCACTGTGGTCCACATCCTGTGTCTCCATGCATGCATATTTAAAATGGGGCAAAGCCAGACATGGGGGCACACACCTATCGTCTCGTCAATGGGGAGGCTGAGGCAGGGGGCACAGCCTGGACTACATAGTCAGGGCTTGCCTCCATAATAAAACTTGATTCATCCTGTATGAAGTGGGTATAAGTTCTAGAATGATCTAATAATCGAGCAAGATATTTGGTATGCAATTCTCAACACAGACCAGAGGAAAAAGTCTGACGGCCATAAAGGGTAGCTGCAGCTTCTTCATATTTTCCTCCTCCTTCCTTCTACCCTTTTCTTTTTTAGTTCCCTTATACTGGGAACTACGGTTCAGTCCTTTAGGTTTCTACTCCTATATAGAACTCCTGCCAGCCAGGATCTCCACGGCTGGGTAGGGCAAAGGTTTGTTCCACACAGGACTTGCACCAGCTACCTCCTAAGTCCCCGACGGTGGCCTCCAGAATGCAAGTGGGGTCAACAATATCCACTGAGCACCTACGGCCCGAGGTTCACAGGGTTGGGGATCTGGACACAAAGGAGACCGGCACATTGCCGCGGCACTGGAACGGCAGACAGTAAGCCATCTGGGTGAGTGTTAGTGAGGTTCTGGAGAGATGTGGAGTAGACATAGGAGAGGTACCAGTGAGTGGGGTTGTCACACGAAACAGGGAAGCTGTGTTTTCTCACCGAGCAGAGAAGACAAGGAAGAGACTGGGGTGCTGGGGGAAGAAGAGGGCCCGTGGGGTGAAGGAACAGCAAAATGAAAGACTCTGAAGTTGGGGTGTGCCTGCTGGATGACAGCCCGAAAGGAGGTCAGTGGCACTGGGTAGTAAAGCAAGATGGACTGGGGTACAATGTGGGCCAAGGCTCTTGGAGGCCATATGCAGTGTCTCCACCCCCTTCTTCCCACGTTCCAACCCAGTCCTCCATCCAGAAGAACTAGGGGAAAGCCCAGGGCTTGCAGCTATGGCCCCAGAGCCCTTCTAATGGGTGGTGGTGAGGTTTCAGCCACCGCCCTTCCCTCACCCTCTCTGGTGAGGTGTGTTTGGTGCCTCCAGGATGCCAGAGAAGGGAAATAAGAACGCGATAAAAAAATTAAGTATAATTGAGGACTTACTATGTGTTGAGCTCCGGTTGCATAAACTCACTGATCCCCTACCCCCACCCTTACACACCAAGAAAGCCAAGACCAGACTCCCTCCTCTCTGATGACTGCGGCTTGTGTCCTTGACATAACAGTAGCCAGCTGGCACCCTCCGCGAAGCTTGAGATCCCTTAGGAGAGAGTTTCCTTGTAGCCAAGAGACTTTACCCCAGACTCCATGGTGCCTTTGGCGCCAGGCGCCTGTGTCTGCAGGGCCCTGTAGAGACCAACATAGGCATTGCGTTCATGTTCTCATAATTCACAGCCCAGGAAGAATGGTAAGGTAACAACAGCTGCGACTTGTTGATGAGGCCAGTGCTGTGCCGTGAACGCCACGCATGCTGTTTCATTTAAGCTGCAAATCAACTCCACGATGGACCCTCCAGAGAAAGCCCGTAAGACACACAACAGAGAGCAAGGGAGGCTGACTGCGGGGCGAGGCGTTCTCAGTGCAAAGGAACCCTGGTTAGCAGGGGTGGGTAATCTAAGGTGCACACAGACAGGAGTGGAGCGTGCTGGCTAAGAGGGATCCTAGACCCCACAGGGAAGGGCAGCTGACCCGCCTGCCCTGGTGTGACTGAGCCTTGTGCAAGCAGTTGGAGACCTGAAGGGGAGAAAATGGCAGAGGAAGGGAACCATCTCTCTGCAACCACTTAGGCAGGGACAAGTGAACTTTTTTAGCATTGGATTTGAATCAGAATTTTGGCTCTTCATGGATGCCAGCTCGGCAGACAGAGTGGAGCTGAGACACCACCCTTCCCGGGTCTCCAGGTCACCAGCCCAGAACTTGGACATCTCAGCACCCATCCCTGTGTGAGCTGATGTTTATGACAAATTCCATTTTGTGTACATGTATGTTCAACACGCACACACCTGTGTACACGCATACAGCCAGACTCTGCGTCCACACACCACCCACCTGTGAATTTAGCTGACTACGGATAGGAAAGACTTGACCATGGCCGCCTCTGTGCAGAACATGTGCAAATTGTTTTTCCATTATTATTTCTTCCCGGGTACTGCCCGGTGTCTATCATATGCCATTTACACTGCTTTAAGTATTAGAGATCATGTAGGAATGGCAAGAGGTATACAGGAGGATGTGTGTACAGTCTGCACAGGTATGATAGCAGCTATACAGGGGATGGGAGTGTCCAAGGATTTGGTACTTATAAACACACCCAGAACCCATTCTGTATGGATCCCAAAGGATGGTTGCATATTTGTTCAAATATATATGTACACGTGTACATTGCATATACATGTAGATGTATGCACATTTATATAATGCACACATGTGCACCTCATCTGTTCTGTTTCTTTGGAGAAAACAGATTAATACAGCTGTCATTCAATATTAATCCCCTTCTCCCTCTTTCTAGAAAAAAACAAGTCGAGTGTGTCCCAGTGTTGCCTTCTGTCTTGGACACCTGCCTCAAAGGAGGTGTGCTACAAGGAGGTGGGCCACTTCCCACCCTAGGCAGGTCCTGATTGGCCTAAGTCAATCACTAGGTCGTGCTTCCTCTGCTAGTAATTACTCTATTCATTAATTAATTTACCCAGCTAGTCATTTATTGTTTATTTATTTGTGTGTGTGTTTTGTGTGCATGACTTCCTGAGGAAGCCAGATTGATGTTAGATGTTCTCAGTCTTTAAAAAAATTTTACCTTATTTTTTAATTTAAAAAGATATATTTATTTATTTATTTATTTATTTATTTTATGTATATGGGTGTCTTGCCTCTGTGTGTGTCTATATGGAGTGACAGGTCCCCAGGAGCTGGAGTTACAGACAGCTGTGAGCTGCCATGTGGGTGCTGGGAATCGAACCTAGGTCCTCTGGAAGAGCAGCCAGTGCTCTTAGCCGCTGAACCATCTATCTAGGTCCCTGCCCATATTTTTGAGCCAGGGCCTCTCTTGGATCCGGGAGCTCGCTGGCTAGCTCCCAGAGATCCTCTGTCTCCTCCTCCAGCCCAGCACAGAGGTCAAAAGCTCATGGGTCCTCACCTGACTTTTTAATGTGTGTTGAGGTACTTGAGCAGCAGACACTTTACTCGGTGAGCCCTCCGCTCAGCCCCCGTTGATTGGTTTAAACAGGAGCATGTGACACAGTTCTGTCCAATGAGAAGCAGGGGAAGTTCTCTGCGTGCCTTCTGGGAGTGCCTCCTTGTTTAAGCAGAGAAGCTGGCAAATCACAGGGTTCTGTTTCAGGGTGCTGGTCCTTGTTGTGTGTACATCAGTTCCCTGACAGTCAAAGGGCGCATCTGGCACCAGGGCAAAATCAGAGACACTGCAGCATCCACCTCTGGATTTGCTGATGTTTTAGAAAACACGCCACCTTCTGGTGAAGTCACGAAGTTAAGGCTTTCTGGCAGCTAAAATAATCCCACTGACACAAATGAATCACCCAAGATGCCTTCCTGTTTGCACAAACGTAAAACGGGACAGTTTGACCTGCTTCCCGTCCCCCTCTCCCCCGCCGCCAAATTGACATCTCTGCCATGTTCTAGAATGAAATGCTGAATCAGTTTTGCATCTCGAGCAAGTTTAGAATGATTACAGAACTTACTAGCATGTATGAATTCCATGATCGTTCCCACAGCAGACTCGAAAAGGTCAGTCCCAAATTCAGAGGGCAGGGGGCGCTGCTGAGTAGGTTCTGTGTCGTGTTGCACTTGGCCAGCTGTACACAGGGATTCATCTTCTCTACATCTTTGCCGAAGCTTATTGTGTGTGTGTGTGTGTGTGTGCGTGTGTGTGTGTGTGTGTGTGTACACACTTGCATATATGTGTGTGGTGTATGCATGGGCTGCACTCCCAATTGGACAGGCAGAAGCCAGGGAAGGACATGGGGTGGCCTGCTCCTTCACTCTCTGTCTTGTTCCCTAAGACAGAAAAATGGATCTAGGCTGACAGGCAGCAAACCCTCTTGAAGATCTTCCTGTCTCCATGATCCGTGGTGCTGGACACACAGGCATGTGTGGGGCCCTGTCCTGGGGATTTGAACTCAGGTCCCTATGTGAGCCACGCTTGGCAGCCCTCAAGCTTACTTGTATTTTTCAGTCCTCCCAGTGGGGATGACGTAGAAGTGCACAGCTTCTGATTTTCATCCCCAGTGGTGAAGGAGACTGAACGCTGCTTCAGTCATTATCTAGCTTCTATCCATTTCTCAAAATTGGATTGTTGCTCTTTTTGTTCAGTTGTACAAATTCTTTATGTATCCTGGACACTGCTGTTATCATACTTAGGATGTTTGGGATACCTCCCCCCACCCCGTGGGTTATTCTGTCTATTTCATACTAGCCTGTTAAAATACACGTATCTTAAATTTTTGTGAAGTCTAACTTACTCATTTCCCCCCCCCCTTCACTTTTACTGGCAGCTAAGAAAACAATCTCCAAAGCATGGCTATTTGATCCTATAATTTTCTTTCACAGGTTTTATAATCTTAGCTTTAATCCAATCCTTTTTGAACTAATTTTACACATGGGGCGAAATGAGTCTGAGTAATTTCCATATAGATACTCAGTTGTGTCATCACTGTGTGTGGAACCCATTGGCTCCCTACCAAGCATCTTGGCCCTGTTTCACCACTCAGCAGTAGACTTTGTATACTCTGCCTTTGTAAATTTGCTTATTGTGTAAGGTAGAGGGACTTGTCCAGCATGTATGGGGTCCTGAATTCCACCACATCTTGTTAGGTTTGCTATTGCTGTGCTAAATACCACGACCAAAAGCAACATGGGAGGAAAGTGATTATCTCATCTTATAGCCTGTAGGCCATCATCAGGGAAGCCAGGACAGGAACTCAAGCAGGGCAGGAACCTGGAGGCAGGAGCTGATGCAGAGGCTATGGAGGGGAGCTGTTTATTGGCTCACTACCCATGGTTTTCTCAGTCTGCTTTCTTATGGAACCCAAGACTACCAGCTCAGGGATGGCACCACCTACCATGGGCTGGGCCCTCCCCTATCAATCACTAATTAAGAAAATGTTCTACAGGCTCGCCTACAGCCTGATCTTATGAAGGCATTTTCCCAACTGAGGTTCCCTCCTCTCTAGTGGCACTATCTTGGGTCAAGTTGACGTAAAAAGCAGGGGCCACTGTCCTCACAAGATCAGGCTTGGGATCTTTTGTTCGATTTGAGATGGGAGTCAGAAAAAAGTAGGAGACACTATGTAGCCAATTTCTGGGACTTAGGGTGGCAGCAGTCTGGGTAGGGTCCCAGGCTGCTTCCCGAGGGGCTTATATAGTCTGTGGAAACTGCAGTAGGTCCATTCATGGGCCTTTTCCCAGTGTGTGCTGTATGTAAGTGTTCGTGTATGTGTGCATCTATCTGTGAAGGTGCAGATAGACACGCGTGCATGTGTTTTTGGAGGCCTGCGGTCAATGGCGGCTACCTTCCTTAATCGATGTCCCATTTTATTTTTCAAGACACTGAACCTTGAACTCACTCAGTTAGACTGGCTGGCTGGTAAGCTCCATGAATCCTCCTGTCTCCACCTCTACAGGATTACAGATGTGTGTACTGATCCCAGCTTTTATGTGGGTGCTGGGGATGGAACTCAGGTCCTCCCACTTGCACAGGACACACAGCTGTCTGAACTACCTTTTCAGCCCTCCTGCCCCCTACCCCGGCTGCCATCTCAGAAGATGAAGGAAACAGGTGCAGAGAAAGCATGGCAGCCCCACAAGAACTGCTTTACTTTAAAGACAGGCACGTGGCAGGGAAATCAGGACTCTCTTGTTCTGCTCATTATCCATGGTTTCATAAAAGAAAAATTACCTTCATGCCTGAAGAGCAGGAAGAACACGACTTTAGAGAAAACAGAAACATACCCCGCCGAAGGGGGCAGATGGATGCTCACACTGACATTTTTGCTGTGAAACTTCTGCATGACTTAGGGTCCCATCTCTAATGCCTTCTGTCTGTGTGGCTGTAGACAGGTGGCCTTGCCTCTGCTTCTTGGGCTTGTAAGCAGGTAAGATGGTTTGATCTATGCAAAGCCATTAGCAGTCCATAAGCCCCTGTATGAGCATTTAGGTTACAGATACATTCTACCACATCTGGCTGCCACATCTGGGGATTTGAACTTAGGTCCACATGCTTACACAGTACATACTTTTACTCACTGAGCCATCTCCTCAACCCTGGGGCAACATTTTAGCCAGGAGTTCTAAACATAATCTTGCCTTCTTTTCCTGAGGGTCGACCAGATGGCTGTCACTAGTGACTCCTGGGTGTGTGATGTGACAAATCACTTTATTTCTCATGGACCAGGTCAGTCACTGAGCAGAGTGAGTGACAGTGCACCTGAACTGGGTATGACGGCACACACCTTTAATCTCAGCATTAAGGAGGCAGAAGCAGGTGGATCTCGGTGAGTTCAGTCTGGTCTACATAGTTATAGGACAGCTTTAGTCACATAAGACAGACTCAGTCTCAAAACACACAAACAAAACAACCTCACCACTACCACCACGATGGGTGAGGAGGGAGCAGGAAGCAGAGGAGGTGGTGTGGTTTTACAAAGAGAAGCCCAGGTGAGCCTCTTTTGTGGTTGACTTGGGTAGAGCCCCTTTCATTTTGTCCAAATTTCTCCCGTACTGACCCATCTCTGATATTTGCTTTGGTTCTACTCTCAGTGGCCATGTCTTTATTCTCTTTTCAACTTGGTGCTTTTTCCTGTTATCTTAGCAGGGCTATCTGCTTACTATGTTGAGTTCCTTTTCTTTTCATTTGTCTCCCTCTTTCTCTATTCCTACCTTCCTTCCTTTCTATTTTTTGAGACAGGGTTTCTCTGTGAGTTTGAGGCCAGTCTGGTCTACATGGTGAGTTCCAGCACAGCCAGACTGACCTTGAACTCAGTGATTCCCCAGGGATGAACAGACTCCATAGCCTGTGATGACACTGGGTAACAAATTGTACAACATCCCTGAAGTTTTAATGAAGACCTATTGTAGACTACCCAGGTCCTTGTGGAGGCAGATACCTACTGAGAATACAGAGTAGGGCATGATGATTGCAGAGGATGGGGAAGTTCAATAAGGGTTCCACACAGAGGTGAGTTGTTCCTTCCAGCTTGGGAAACAAGTTAACACCCTGGGAAGCTTTCCATGTTAGGGAAGGAAGGCAGGAAGACCCACACCAGGCTGAGGAGATACTGGAAACTGATAGCTGCTGAGGGGGATGGCATCGAGTTTTATTTTAGAGATGAAGCCCCTGGCCCCACACCCATGCTCATCCTGGTGGACCCAGCGAGTTTTAAAAGAGCTCATGAAATTGGGAGGGAGAGTGAAAGGAGTCGGGGAGAGGGAGTGAGGTGCCAGTTTGATCAAAACACATTTTGTGTGTGTGTGTGTGTGTGTGTGTGTGTGAAATTCTCAAACAATAAATTAAAAAGCACGTTGAAGAAATTAAGCTCACAGGACTTTAAAAAATCTGACACATTTTCAAAGAGCAGAGAACATGAGATTCCCAACACATAAGAATGATCATGGCCATGGCTGGGGAGATGGCTCAGGAGGGAAAGTGCTGTGGCACAAGCCTCCAAGGGATCCAAGTCTGGATCCCCAGCACCCATGGAAACAGCTGGAAGTATCTGCAGCTCCAGTGCTGGGGATTAGATGCCAGCCCTGGTGCTCAGTGGTCAGGCAACATGACCAGGTAGGTAAGTTCCAGATTCACTAAGACACCCTGTCCTCCAGGACAGTACGAAGAGCTATAAAGAGGATAGTCTTCCTTGACTGGCAGTTTTCATATGTGTATGTACACACACACACACACACACACACACACACACACACACACACACGTGCACAGTCCCTCAGGGTGCCTCCCACATGGGCGCACCACACACAGTGACTAATAGCTAATGCTGTAGATAGTCATTTTTCTGACTCCATCTCCCGTTCTGTACCTACACTGAATCATCATAGTTCCCTTACATTGGGATTAAGGGATTTGGTGGTAAATGCATTCCCACAGCCTGAGGTGGACCCAGAACCACATGGTGGAGAGAGAGCCATTTCCCCCAGGTTGTCCCTGATCTCCATACACCTATCCTGGCTTACATGTGCCCCACAGACACATAAACAAAGGTGAACACATATAATGCTTTAGCAGAAAAAATTGCCTTACCAAAGTTAAAAAGATGTTAGTGACTATATCTCTCTGGTTTAAATGGGTGTCCAGAATGTATATCAAGAATTTAAAGACACAGCAATGCAGCTATAAAAATGAGGAGAGAAACAAAAATAAAAAAACCAAAAACCAAGACTAAAGTTTAAGAACAACAAACGGGCAAAGGGCACTACCTATTTTTTTAATGACTCAAAAATCCCCCAAAGCCCCAATGAAGGAGAATCTACTTGCAGATATCTGCTCCCTAAATGATTCCAGGTGTGGCCCCATTTGACGCCAAGGAGGAGCAACAGCTGCAGCTAATTGCAGGGGTTTATCGAAGTTACTAAGGACTGAGGGCTGTTTATGGGCTCAAAGAGGGCTGGCAAGTGTAGAGAGCCACCCCACCCCCACCCCTGTGCCCTCACCCCAGCCCCTGAGCCACCCAGGTGCAAGTTAAACTTAGCTTCATTTGGGTGGGGATGGGGGTGGGACCAGACGCCCACTGCAGAGCTGAAATTGAGATCGGAGGCCTTCAGACGGTGACCTGGCCTGTGCATTGCCCCTTTTGCAGGAGGCTAGGCCTGTCCCTTTCTTTCACACCCTTTGGTGACTGTGCCCTGGCACAGGGCTGTGCCTTCAGGAGGTGAGGAGCTGAGTTCTCGTGGGCACCCTGCCCTGGAGAGGAGGCTTCTGTTGCCCCTGGACAGAGGCTGCGGGAAGTGGTTCTGAGCCTTGGTGTCTCAAACAGCTTGGACTTTGTGAGGAGGTGAGCTTGGGAGTCAGGCCAAAAAGAGCAGGGGTGAAGAGAAGCAACGGGGAGCTCTCAGGGGACACAGAGCCCAGGCTTCTGAGGTACAAGTTAGTGGCCCCTGGAAGCTGGTTCTGCCTGCTGGTCGAGAACACCCTCACCTGTGCAGCAGGACGGACAGAAGGAGCAGGCATCCCAGCAGCCACTCTCATGGGTCTGTTTGGAGGCATGAACCCTGTTCAACAAACTTCTTCAATCCCTAGGGCACTCACAGCCTGTCCCAGGAAGCAGATCTACCAGTTCAAGGGGGCTTTTTGTGGGTGACTAGAAAGTAACTATCTGACACGATCATTTGTTTTTAAGTTTCCCAGCAATTTCACAGAGGTCTCTGACAGACCCTCTACCTTTAAGGGCCTTTTCGGATCATCCTTGCCATGTCTGGCCGGGCCAGGATTCATGCTCAAGGCAGAAGCCAATCCCTGAGGATCTCACAGCCTGAGGCACCCGGAGCAGCTGCCCATGGCCCCGTAATGTCTCTCATTTCTTTTTAAAGTTGTATGGGACACCCTACCAGGCTGTCAGGATGGGTGGGAGAAGGCTGACTCAACTCTCTCTGGAACATTTGTATTTTCAACCTGGAGTCCCGCAGAGCAGTGGTTCTCAACTTTCCTAACAATGTGCAACTTCAATTCACCTGCTCATGTCGTGGTGGCTCCCTGCCCCCAACCACACGATACTAATTTCCTTGCTACTTCATAGCTGTAATTTTCCTGCTGTTATGAACCCTACTGTAAATATCTGAAGTGCAGGATGGTCTCAGACCCATGAAAGGGTCCTCTGACCACCCTCCCCCTTTAAGTGGTCGCGACCCACAGGTTGAGAACGGCTACTGCAGCTTTTTGTTTTTATAACTGCCTTGACTTCAGCCAAGATTCTTACTGAAGGCAGAGCCTGTCTTTACCACTTGTGACTCTGACCTGTGGCGTGACCAGTTCTCTTCTAGCCAATGTCCACTTAGCCTTTGTGAACGGTCATAGCTGCTGGCGAGGTCTCTTTGGCGACTGTCAATGGGTGCTATACTACCTAACCATCCGGGCTTCTGGTCCCTTCTAATCAATTTTTCTGCCCTGAACTTCAACCCCCTTCGCTAGACTTCAGTCTCAGTTTCTGACTTTTGACTCATAGCTCAGAGGTGACTCTGAAGTCAACATCAACTGCTTCTCCATCTGGCCCCCTCAAGCTCCCTTAATGGCACCTCTGCTCTCCACCCCACAGAGAAAGCCTAGACAGAGAGGGTGACCTCACTGCCTGTGTAGGTCCTGTCATCATCTTTCATTTTTAAATTTGTGAAGCAGAGACAGGTTGGCAGGTGGGATCTCCTTGGCAACCTAAGTGGCTGTCCCTAAAGCAAGCATTGCCTACACCGAGGGCCACTTCAGCCCAGACACCCCTGCTTCAGTTCTATTGGCTCCTAACCAACAGGGTTTCGCTAAGTGAAATTCCCCACATCTGTGTGTATTAGCAGGTTGCTCTCCGATGTCTTTCCCCGGTGGCCTCTGCAGAGCCCTGGTTCTCAGCCTCTCTTTCCAGCTGAGCTCTGTACCCATGACCTCCACGGAAGCTGCCTCGTCTGACTCCCAGCACCCCCTCCTCGACAAATCTGCAGGCCTCTTGCTTTTCTGGCCTTGAATCTGCCCTCTTGCTGCAGTAGGATCAAGACAGATTCCTTCCCTCTCTCACTGCAGCCCCCGCTGGCTGCCCTTTCCTGGGCTTTCTTCCTTGCAGCAGGCCTCTTCTCCTGATGCCCTGGGGTACTCTAATGGTGATACCAGCCAGCACCCTGGCCTCATGTACTGTCTCATGTGTGGACGAGTGTTCAGGGGCATGCCACCAGGCAGACTCCATTCCTGACTCCATCCTGACCTCCCCACAGATGTCCATGAACACCTTGCCTCCCTACTTCTCCCACATAGCACTCCCACCTCCAGCAAATAAATTCTGTCACACATTTGCTCTGACTAGTGTCTTAGGATTCCTTCCAGACCCTTCTCTCTACTGCCTTTTCCCTTGTGTAACTTTCCAGTTACACTCGACACCTCTCTTTGCATCTTTTTGAAGGAGGATCTCGCTTTGTAGCCCAGGCTGACTTTGAAATTGGGTTGCTCTTGCTTCAACCTGGGCATGGATAGGGCAGCTATCTGTACGAAGCCCCTAAGCTATTTTAAAAATTGACTCCTTATCGCTTCTTGGCCTTTTGGCTAAGATCAAGTGTAGTATCTGTTCTTACCAGTTAATATCTGATATGTCCTCTATCCAAGGATAATATATTAATTGGATTTTTAAAATTAGGTCTTATATCCATTTGGACTTAAGTTTTGTGCATGGTGATAGACATGGATCTATCTGCATTCTTCTACATGCCAGCATCCAGTTATGCCAGCACCATTTGTTGAAGATGCTTTCTTTTTTCCTTGTATACTTTTGGCTTCTTTGTTGAAGATCAGATGTTCATACATGCATGGACTAATATCAGGGTGTTCAATTCGATTCCATTGGTCTATTTTTGTGCCAACACCAAGCTGTTTTCAGGACTACAGCTCTATAATAGAGCTTGAAGTCAGGGATGCTGATGCCTCCAGATGTTGCTTTGTTGAATAAGGTTGTTTTGGCTACCCCTGGGTCTTTTGTTTTTCCGTACAAATTGATTATTGTTCTTTCAAGGTCTGTAAAGAATTGTGCTGGTATTTTAATGGGAATTGCATTGGCAGGATTGCCATTTTTACTACATTGATCCTACCTATACAAGAGCATGGGAAATCTTTCCATTTTCTGATGTCTTCTTTAATTTCTTTCTTTAAAGACTCAAAGTTCTTGCGATACAGGTCTTTCACTTGTTTAGTTAGTGTTACCCCAAGGTATTTTATGTTGATTGTGGCAATTGTAAAGGGTGATGTTTCTCTGATTTCTCAGCCCTTTTATTGCCTGTATATAGTAGGGCTACTGATTTTCTTGAGTTGATCTTGTATCCTGCCACTTTGCTGAAAGTATCAGCTGTAGGAGTTCCCTGGTAGAGTTTTTTGGATCACTTATGTAAACTATCATATCATCTGCAAATAGTGAAATTTTGACTTCTTCTTTCCAATTTGTATCCCCTTGATCTCCTTTTGTTGTCGTATTGCTCTAGCTAGAACTTCAAGTACAATATTGAAAAAGTATGGAGAGAGTGGATAGCCTTGTCTTGTTCCTGATTTTAGCAGAATCAAGTTGAGTTTCTGTCCATTTAGTTTAATGTTGGCTGTTGGTTTGCTGTATATAGCTTTTATTATGTTTAGGTATGTTCCTGTTATCCCAGATTTCTCCAAGACCTTTGTCATGAAGGGGCATTGGATTTTGTCAAGGCTTTTTCAGCATCCAGTGAGATGATCATGTGATTTTTGTTTCTCAGCTTGTTTATATGGTGGATTACATTGATGGATTTTCATATGCTGAACCATCCCTGCATCCCTGGGATGAAACCTACTTTATCGTGGTGAATGTTTGTTTTGATGGAATTAGGAGTTGGAATAGGAGTTTGCTCCATTCATTCCATTAATGGACCTGGTATTGCAGTACCTCCAGGATTGGTGCACAAAAAAAATGATTCCTTAGTAGAATTTGGGTGTTTTGAAAAGTAGGACTTAATTATAGCTTTTGGGTAAGGACTGAATACAAGGAACACGGCTCCTCATTTCTGTTCCCATGCACATGCAGGCCTCTGCAAGACGGGGAGGCTCACAGCCACCCCGAGCCAGGCCACCACATCAGGAAGTCCAGCTACAGTCACCAGGAGCCGGGCCACCACGGTCAGGAGCCCAGCTACAGTCACCAGGAGCTGGGCCACCACGGTCAGGAGCCCAGCTACAGTCACCAGGAGCTGGGCCACCACGGTCAGGAGCCCAGCTACAGTCACCAGGAGCTGGGCCACCACGGTCAGGAGCCCAGCTACAGTCACCAGGAGCTGGGCCACCACGGTCAGGAGCCCAGCTACAGTCACCAGGAGCTGGGCCACCACGGTCAGGAGCCCAGCTACAGTCACCAGGAGCTGGGCCACCACGGTCAGGAGCCCAGCTACAGTCACCAGGAGCTGGGCCACCACGGTCAGGAGCCCAGCTACAGTCACCAGGAGCTGGGCCACCACGGTCAGGAGCCCAGCTACAGTCACCAGGAGCTGGGCCACCACGGTCAGGAGCCCAGCTACAGTCACCAGGAGCTGGGCCACCACGGTCAGGAGCCCAGCTACAGTCACCAGGAGCTGGGCCACCACGGTCAGGAGCCCAGCTACAGTCACCAGGAGCTGGGCCACCACGGTCAGGAGCCCAGCTACAGCCACCACAGGCTTGTGTCAGGCCCTCACCGCCCACAGCCCAGTCCCCACAGCTCCGTGTCCAGCCATCCCAGCCTGGAGCTTTGTCACCAGAACCCCAGGCCCAGCCGCCAACTATGACTTGGGCCCAAAAACTCAAATCCCAGCCCTCCCAGCGACAGGCCTCCCAGTCACAACAGCCCTACATCTGGCCATCCCTGCCTGGAGCTCAGCTGCCACAGCCCCAGGACCCATTACCTCAGCCACAGGAGGAAGTCCAAGTGGTTGCATCACAGGAACCTAGAGGAGCAGAAGGCAGACTCCCACCTCTAGGTGAGGGGGCAGAGGGAGGTGATGGGGACAAAGGTGTCTCATGCATGGAGATAGCCACAATGGCATATTTCTGGGTGGCTGTCCTCAGTAGTCCCACAGTGACTGGCAGGATGAGTCATTCTCTTCACAGTTTAAAAGCCAATGAAGTAGAAATGGCTGCTGTTGTCTGACGGGCAATGTCACCGTCTTGCAACTTAGATGGGGTTAGCTTGTGAAAACATCCATATTCTAAGCTGCTACACGGCAAAGCTTGAGCAGCCAGCCATCTCAGTGTTGTCCTCCTTGTAGCATCTTTGGGGACCAGTGTGCAGGTCACAGGGAGCCAGAGGCCTTGGCTGCTGTCCCCCGCCAAGAGTGTGTGTGGCTCGCACAGTTGGTCTCTGGACCAGCTCTCCATTTTTGTTCCCATAGCAAAGCATCTTGAGATGCAGATGACCATCTTTTATTACTTAATGTATCTTTCTTATCTATCTTTGTACCGTGTGTGTGTGTGTGTGTGTGTGTGTGTGTGTGTTGTACATGGAGGCCAGAGGTTAATGTTGGCTGCTTTGCTGTATTTTTTTTTCAGGCAAGGTCTTTCACTAATCCCAGAGCTTTCCATCTCTGCTAGACTTGCTGGCCAGAAAGCCCCTGGGGTTCTCCTGTGTCCATTTCCCCAGTGCTGGGAATATAGGCACGTGTCACCAGTACACAGCTTTTTACATAGGTGCTACAGTTCTGAACTTGGGTCCTTACATTTACATGGTAGACACTTTACCAACTGCCATTGTTATGTGTGCATCTGCATATGAATGTGGGTGTCTGTGCCACCATGCTTGTGTTGGAGGTCTGTGTCACCATGCCTGGCCAACATTTTAAATCTTAATATATATACATACATATATACATAAATGAGCCATGTACTGTGGCTGTAATCACAGCCCTTGGGAGCTTGAGGCAGGGGGATCAAAAGACTTAGATCATCATGAGCTACGAGGAAGAAACCTGTCTCAAAAACCAAGCAAGAAGTGAGAGAAAGGCATTAGTAAATATTGTCTTCACCAATAAGAACCCCCAGAACCCATGAAATGCAGATGTAAATTTGAATTCATAAAACGGAAATCCCCATGTCTATCACCCCATGGCACTTTGCTAGGGCTGTGATCAATTCTTTGGAAAGTGTGTGGTGTGTGGTGGGGCTGTTTCCTGTCACTTCGCGAGGACGGGTCTGCACACTGGGTATCCAGGAACTCGTTGCGTTGACACATGTGAAGTGTTTCCTATGGAAGAAGTGCCGACTCCAGTGCCGGACAGGATTCACACTTCCAGGAGTGGTGACTTTTGAGCTATGACACGTCTGTAACCTGAGTCATGGGCACCCTTAGCCATTGAGGACACAGTCCATGGAAAGTCTTTTACAGTTCACTACTGTGCACTGTTACTCAGAACTAGTCATTGCTGAATAAATATTTAAAACTCTATACACCTGAGTGTAATAAAAATGGGATGAATTCCCATGCCCATTGCCCTTTGTAGAAAAAAGTAATCAGTCCATTTGTATGAAAAGCCTAAATTTTTAAACCTTTGGTTGGCACATTCCAGTATCCACAAGAGGGCAGTGTGGTACCCAGACCACTGTCTCACACATCCCATAATGAATGACTGATGAGAGCAGGAGCCAACTTCCCAGGGAGCTGCTGTGTAAGCTAGGGAGAGATTCTGGAGAGCTTTTTCATCTTTGACAACCTTGACTGACTTAGCTACTAGCAGACAGTTGACATTGCTGTGATTTTGAAAGGTTTAAAGCTTTATTTGTAAGAATGTGTATACGTGTGGGTGTACCCGTATTTGCGCAGGTGCCAGAAGAGCATATTGGATCTTCTGAAGCTGGAGTTCTAGTCAGTTGTTTAGCTGTCCAGTGTAGGGGCTGGGAACCAAACCTGGGTGTCTGCAGGAGCAGCGAGCAGCATGTGCTCCAATCACCAGGCTGTTTCTTCAGCCTCCTCTTCCCCCATTTTGCTGTGTCTGTGCTGTTTGTATTTGTGCCTGTGTAGAACACCACCGCACAGCAGTATCAAGGGAGCTGACTGAAAGGTCACGTGGAATCTTCCAAGACCTCGTGATAAACACCAGGAAGATGTTGAAACACGTCAAAGATTCAAAGAGAGGTATGACCTGGAAAGAAAGAAAAAAAGGGTGGCCTGGAAAGAGATTCTATAAAACTATTAGTTGTAAATTTTGGCTTAAAAATAGCTAGTGTGACTTACAGCTGGGGAGGAGGCTCAGCAGGAAAAAAAGCTTTCGATGCAAGTCCGAGGACCAGGGCTCACATAAGCAGTATGCAGTAGCGTTTGTGTGTCTGTCATCCCAGCCCTCTTGCAAGATGGAAAATGGAGACGGAAGCCCCCAAAGCTCTCAGGCCAGTTAGCAGGGCATATGCAGCAGTGAGCAACAGACGCTGCCTTAAACAAGGTGTAGCGGGTCAGGACCGACACTCACGGCTGTCCTCGACCCTTCCGACGTCAAGCACATGCCTTCTCGCTCTCTCTCGCTCTCTCTCGCTCTCTCTCGCTCTCTCTCGCTCTCTCTCGCTCTCTCTCGCTCTCTCTCGCTCTCTCTCGCTCTCTCTCGCTCTCTCTCGCTCTCTCTCGCTCTCTCTCGCTCTCTCTCGCTCTCTCTCGCTCTCTCTCGCTCTCTCTCGCTCTCTCTCGCTCTCTCTCGCTCTCTCTCGCTCTCTCTCGCTCTCTCTCTCACACACACACACACACACACACTAATAACATGTATTTGACAGTCTGTAAAGCTTTGAGCAGTCACTGTAAACGGGTACCGCGTTCTCGCCGCCACATAGCATTTGAAAGCATCGCTTTCAGATGTGATGGTCTGTTGAGGGGGTCTGGGTGGGTTGTGCGCTTTTCTTTTCCACTTACAGTATCTAAAGCAGTGGTTCTCAACCTTCCTAACCCTGGAGCCCTCGCTAATAGATTCCTCGTGTTGTAGTGACCCCACCCCAACCATAAAATTATTTCATTACTACTTCACAACTTTAATTTGTTACTGTCATGAATGATAATGTTAATATCTGTGTTTTCCAATGGTCTTAGGCAGTCCCCATGAAAGGGCTGTTTGACCCCTAAATTGAAAACCATTGGTCTAAAGAAATGTGCCTTGCTTTCTAGGGACAGAAGGCCAAGTGATAAAGCTACAGACAAACCATTACCAAGTGACCTGTGACTGTAAAATCGCATATAAGTACAATATTGACTACCAACCAGACATAAAGGATATAAATATCCGCACTAATTTACTGCTCAGACATCAGTCTACACTTGGCAAGTGCCATATTTTCGATGGAAACTCATTGCTGTTACCTCGGAGGCTGCAGCATTTGGTTAAGTAATGTTTGAAACTGTTTTATAAGAATCTTCTGAACGATAGTGTCCGGGACGGTGCGGTGGGACTGATAACACATACACCCTGATGCCCAAGTTTGAACGTCGTATGTCTTGAAGTCCCCCGTTTTAGTACCTAAGTAGAAGTTAAGTGGGATTTAAACATAATACAGGCTAAAAGTGCTGATAGAAGTGCTGGGGCCCGGGGGGGGGGGGGAGCGCAGGGCAAGAGGGGGAGGCGGGGCAGGGGGAGGGGGTAGCTCAACCAGCAAAGTGCGGGTGTGCGGGTGTGCGGGTGTGCGGACCTGAATTTGGATCCCTGGCACCCACGTAAAAATGTAGGTGGGCTCAGTGTACACCTGTCTGGGGATGCAGAAATGGGAGGATCCCTGGGGCTGGTTGTAACATCCACTCTATTTAAATTCATGCCCTCCAAAGTTCACTGAGACCTTGCCTCAAACTCCAGGTAGATTTCGATTGGGGAAGACAGAACATTGGTCTTTGGCCTACACACACACACACACACATACACACACACACACACACACACACACGTATACACACACAGGTACGTACACATTATGTATATACACATGTATGTACACACAATACTGACATTTTGTTGTTTCATTAAAAATTTGTCCAAAATAAGTTAGGATAGGGTTCTATTTTCTTTATATATATTTTTAGTTTCCCTTTCAGGTTAAAATTTATATTAATTGGCCAAACCAATTACTTTCAGGAGCTTAAGTTAAAAAAAAGTTTAACTATAGCTGGGCGGTGGTGGCGCATGCCTTTAATCCCAGCACCTGGGAGGCAGAGGCAGGCAGATCTCTGAGTTCGAGGCCGGGCTGGACCGATAGCCTCTGAAACAATACAGTGAAACCCTGTCTCGTAAAAACCAAAAAAAAGTTTAACTATAATATTGTGGTGCTTGATATCTGCAAATTGTATCTTCTGAATATGTGAGAAAAAGTTCCACCTCCATGTGGGGAGTTGAGTGGTGTGCTGACTGTTATTCAGTGGGACCTAGTTTTCTTGAATATCTCCATTTTTTGTTTGCTTTAAAGTATGTGAGGGTGTTCTTGTATGTGTGCAGGTGTGTATATGTATGAGGCCAAAACTGGGGATCTGAACCCAGGTCCTTAGGCTTGCTCAATGAGTGATTTTTCTGACTGAACTGTCTCCTCAGCATCCCCCCTCCTTGTGTTTGAAATCCTTAGGAAATGGAGCTTGTCAGTAAGACTGAAGGTGATGACAAAGTGAGAATCAGGATCCAGCTTTCCAGTGAACTCCACCCCAGTCACCCAGAGTGGCTTCGCTATTACAACATCCTCTTTAGAAGGTGCATGAGACTTTGTCTTCCCCACCCACCATGATCCCTGGGGTGCTCCCCCACCATGGACGTGAACACAGCCACATTCCTTCAACCGTGTGTGCTCTCAAGGCCTCATGTTGTTGAGCAGACAAGGGTCTTCTGGGTAAAATGATATCTGAACCTCAGCTACAATGTGCAAGTTCGGTATCTAGGCCCCAGCATTTGTCCTCCTGCCTATACCCACTTCCTGTGCCTGCCACCTGTCTGGAAAGAGGAACAGACATCCACACTGTGTGTCCACCCCATGTATCTCTGGAGTGTGTATGCGTTCTGTTCTGCACTCACTATAATGGCTAAATATGCGAAGGATCATTTGGGCCGTGGAATCTGCAAGATGTTTTAGTTCAGAATTGTGAGCAAAGGATGTTTGAGGCCAAGTTTAAGGCCAAGCTTGAGACTCCCTGCTTAGTTCCCCCTCTCGTGCCCCCCCTTGAGGCTCCCCTTGGGCCCCACTTCATGTGTCTTACTTAATGCTCTGTGTTCATTGTTCAAACAAGGTCATGATAGTTTTCCTGATGTGTCTTTGTGTGTGTGTGTGTGTGTGTGTGCACACGCGTTTGCGCACTATAGGTCACACTTGGGATCCTCTCCACAAACCCACTCTTCTCCTTCTAGAACGCTGAAGCTGATGGACTTGGAGCAGAGCGATTCCAGTCTCAGAAAACTCAAAGATGAGCTTATGGCGTCAAGGTTTGAGGAAAATGGGGAGGAGGGGTAAATCGGTGTCTACAGATTTAATTAGGAAATCTCCTTTGAGGCCACTACTCTGAGTTGAAGTGGTGTGCAGTTTTTTTATTTTTTTATTCTTTTACTAATTCCTTGTGGATTTCACATCCTGCCTTCCAATCCCACTTAACTCCCTCCTCCCCAAAACAAAACAAAATGTAAAGGGGGGGGAAACAAAAACAAAAACCAAAGACCGAACATAACAACAAAAGAATCTCATGGAAGCTGTAGTGTGGCCAGTTGAGTCATATAGTTTACTCCTTGATATATTCATCTTTACTTGAAAGTGTTCATTGCCACGAGTCATTGGTCTGGCTCAAGATCTCTGGCTTCTGCTCTACCCCTTGTAATGGACTCTTATTGGGGCTCTTTTTGGATATACTGTTTTGAATCTGTAGATTCATCCCCTTCATGTGCTCATAGATGAGGTGAATGCTGAGGTGGGCCAGCTTGCAGGCCTGGTTCTGGGCCTTGGGTGGTGGCTGGCTTGGTCAGCCCTCCAGCTCTCCATCACTGTCACTACTCAGGTAGGCTCTCCAGCACTGCCTCTAGCTCACCCAATACAGCCTGCAGCAAGGAGTGGGATTTTTAAAGAGACACCCATGGATTATGAGCAGCGAAGATTCGCACTGTCAGCCTTGGACTACGGATGAACTCCCTGTCTGCCCCCCCCCAAAAATTACAAAATTCAGTTTAAGGTGAAAAGGTTGTCATTAAAAGCAATCCCAGCGTTCAAGGTGCTTAGGCAGGCTGAGGTGGTAGTGCATGCCTTTGGTCCCATCTCTGAGGAGGCAGAGGCAGGTGGAGCTCTGTGGTTTCAAGACCAGCCTGGTCTATAGATCTAGTTCCAGGACAGCCAGGACTGTTTCACAGAGAAACCCTATCTCAAAAAACCCACCAACAACAAAACAATGACATCTAGCTTGACACTTTAAGTGATGTGGTTGGTAAGTACAGTTTAACAAAGGCCACGGACCACCCATGACTGACCTCCCTTTGATGGTCCTTCTAAAGATCAGTAGTACCTGGTAACAAGGAACTTAAAGCAATTCCCGTGTGACTGGCACTGGCCCTGCCCCAGTTCTGACAAGGAATGCTGGGAGTGGTCTCTGTGTAAAGATTCTCTTTGCAGAATGGATATCCAGCGCAGCTACAACACCTCCATCCTACCATATGAGAACAGGCTGACCCTGTGTGCTGATGTGACTCACAGACTGCTCCAGGTGAAAACTGTGTACGACCTCATATTTGAGAAGAGGGAGAAAGGCGTGAGGAATCTACGGAAACAAATCTCTGAAGAGGTAGTGGGATCCATTGTTTGCACTAAGTAAGTGCATTTTAGACACCTACCAATTGCTCTGGCCACCTCTTTAGTCTGTCACAAAAGTTCTTGTCATGTCCAAACAGCACACATTTGTAGTTGGAATTTCCTTCGGGCTGCTAACCAGCTCCCAAATAAAGATAGAGACTTATTAAATATGCATGGCTGGCCTTGGCTTAGGCTTGTCCCACCAGTTCTTTTAATTTAACCTGTTTCTATTCATCTATGTTTTGTCCCAGGGCTTTTTACCTTTCTTTCATCCTGTATGTCCTACTTTACTGCTTCCTCTGTGTCTGTCTGTCTGGCCCCTGGTGTCTCCCTGTCATCTCCTTTTCTACCCCACCCCAGTCTAAATTTCTCCTCTTGCTTACTCTCCCTGCCCAGACGTCCTGCCTATCCCTCCTCCCTCGTTATTGGCCATTCAGCTTTTTATTAGACCAATCAGGTGCTTTAGGCAGGCAAGGTGAAACAGCAGCACATCTATATATACTTAAATAAATGCAACACATCTTTGCATAATTAAACAAATCCAACACATCTTTGCATAGATAAACAAATGAAACACATCTTTACACAGATATTCTGCAACACAACATTTGTGAAGCTCAGGACTAAAGTAGGAAAACGACAAGCAACATGTTACCCTTCTCACTTGGGTACGTGTCTGGTGTCTGTCTCTACGCCCTTGCATGTCTCTGCTTGCTCCTGAGCCTTGATGGTTTTCCTGCTCAAGTTCATCCCTGGTCTAAACTGTTGGTATCTGTTGCTAGATACAGCCCGAGGGCAGCTTCCACCTCTGAAGATGCTTTATCTTCATTTCTCCTTCTATGTCAAAAACTTTTTTTTTAGGAATGTGATCTGAAGATTTTTATTCATTTTTTTGCATTCCAATCCCAGTTTCCCCCTCCCTCCTCTCCTCCAACTAAGCCCCCCCCACCTCCCATCTGCTCCTTGGAGAGGGTAAGGCCTCGCCTAGGAAGTCTACTAAGTCTGTGGCATCATCTCATTGAGGCAGGACCAAGGTATCCTCCGCTGCCCCATGTGTCTAAGCTGAGCAAGGTGTCTCTCCATATAGAATGGGCTCCACTAAGTCAGTTTGTACATTAGAGTTAGATCTTGCACCCACTGCCAGTGGCCTCATATTGTCCCAGCCACACCACTGTCGCCTATATTCAGGGAATCTAGTCCAGTCTTATGCAGGTTTGGGTTAGCTAGCTTGGGTCAGCTGATTCTGTGGGTTTCCCCGTCATGGTCTTGACTCCTTTGTTCATATTATTGCTCTTCCCTCACTTCAATTGTACTCCAGGAGCTCAGCCCAATGGTTGGGTAATTGTGAATTTCTGCATCTGCTTCCATCTGTTTCTAGAAGAGAGGGTTCTATCTTCTCTGGGGTTGTGGATTGTAGACTAAGTATCTTTTGCTTTATGTCTGTTATCACAAACTTAAACTTGATGAGTAAATGCAGTCAAAGAACCAGTGAGAAAAGCAGATCCAAGGGCTTGACTTGCCTGACTTTAAAACCTTATTAGAAAACACAGGAACCCTGATAGGCTGGTGCCAGCAGAGTGATGGGCTGAGCGTCTAAGGCCCTTGTGTTTGACAGGGGTGTGAGTCACTTAAGGACAAGTATAATCTTTTTAATAGTGCACTGGGGGTATCTGCCTCTCCTCCCTACAGAACACACAAAGCTCACTCAAATTTAACTTGGGAACTCAAAGCAGACTTACTTTGTAAAAATATAATTTTATTACAAGCATCTGAACTTTAGATTCAAGCAAAACCCTCCTAGATAAGAAACCAAAAAAGAAAAACAGAAAAATATAGGTAGAGTGTTGTAAGCACCTGTCAAAACATGAAGGCAAATGGACAGGAAGGGAGAAAATGCTAGCAAGTCAGAGTGATACTTGACACTCACGTGAACAGCCAAGAAGCAGTAATTAACAGTCCACTGCAGATGTGGCAAATCAGAGCCAACCACAAGTAAAGTATTACTAGAGTATAAAACCTTAAGATATAAAAAGATTTCTCCAGAAAGCACCTAAAAAGTCTTCCATAGTGACAATGATTTTACTCATGACCCAGAAAACCCACTCAGTTATATAGGTATTTCCAAAGGGAAATGAAGAGCTCGTGCCCACCAAAAGTGGTGCATGGATGACCATAAATTCCATCGCAGCCCAAAACTAAACAAACCTGATGTTTCATATCTTGTCAGTAGATGAGGCATTGTATGACCATACAATGGAATATTCCTTTGAAACAGGAATGCATGACATACCAGTGGTGGTTGTGGCATAAATGACCCTTATGCCAAGCGGAGGAAACCAGTCAGAAATGATTGTGTCTTCTCTGAGTCAGTTTATATGAAATGTGTGACCAGGTCAGTGTATAGAGACAAAGAGCACTGTGACTGCCTTGAGCAGGACTGGGAGATTTGGAGCAAATGAGTAGCCACTTAGGGCCTTGGTGTTCTTTCCTGGGAGATGAGATATGAAGCCATGTCGATGGTCAACTGGTCGACCCTGATATTCTCAAAAAACAAGGACATGATCCTGGAATGGCTGAGCTTGTATAGTATATCAGAATTTGTGATACATTTTTTTCCCTGCATGTCTGTGTGCTGTGAGTGGTCAGAGTTGACCTCTTACCTGGTGATCATCCACCACAGGTACAACAATAAGACCCACAGGATCGATGCTATCGACTGGAAGCAGAGTCCCAGAGACAGGTTTAGAAAGTTTGATGGCAGCATGGTCACCTTCGTAGACTACTACCGGGAGGTGAGGATTCCGATCTTTGAATATTTAAATGGTGAAGCTGCTCATGTTAGGTAAATCTATATTATTTAGATGCCTGAGATATGGATTAATATATCTGTTCTATCTATGGAGATGTGGCCATTTAGTGAGGAGGTCACAGTGTCTCGGAAAAGCAGAAAGGACTGAGCTGGGAAGATGAGGGAGAAGTATGGGGCTCAGGCACCACATTCAGGATGTGTCTGTCAGGAATTGCCACCAGGAAAGGTGTGACAGGAACAGTGTAAGCATCTTCCCCTTCCTTGTACAGTGGGGTGGAAGCCACCCTGAGTCACATTTTATGTACTGGCATGAATCAGATTGCACTGTGATCCAATGGCATCGGGTGGAGTGTATTGTGATATATGCACCATTGAATATATATCACATGTATGTTGCTAGTGTGTGTGATCATGCCCACCACACACATGCATGCATACATGTGCACTCGCACATACACATGCATACGCACATGTGCGCTCGCACACACACATGCATGCACACATGCGCGCTCGCACACACACACATATGCAGAGCATACATGTATCATATGAAATGATGGACCTTCACGATGACACTCTCAGCATCTGCACCATGCGCTCTAATCTTGTAGACACCTGTTATCCTCCTCCCCACCCTCTGTCACCTCATCCTACACTGCCCACCTCTCCTCTCTAGTATTGTATGGATCATATACATGCACCAGGGTCCTTTACCCATGTATCTGTTCATGGATGTGTAAGTTGAATCCATGGCTTGGCTCCATGTTACATATATTTAGAAGACATGAAAGCAAAAGGGGACTTTTGGGGATTGAGGAAGGGGAGAAGGCAGGGGACAGGGTAATGGGAACAAACCAGCAAAGTGTAATTCAGCACATATGCATGAATATGTCATAAGGAACCACTGTCTTTTATTTGTTAACTAAGAGAGAGGGGCAGGCAGGCTGACTGACAGAGGCGGGCTGACAGAGGCGGGCTGACAGAGGCGGGCTGACAGAGGCGGGCTGACAGAGGCGGGCTGACAGAGGCGGGCTGACAGAGGCGGGCTGACAGAGGCGGGCTGACAGAGGCGGGCTGACAGAGGCGGGCTGACAGAGGCGGGCTGACAGAGGCGGGCTGACAGAGGCGGGCTGACAGAGGCGGGCTGACAGAGGCGGGCTGACAGAGGCGGGCTGGCTGGAAAATTTAGTGAGGTGGTAGCTCTGGGGTCAAAGGACGATGGCCTGGATGGGGGTAGGAGAAGAGATGAGACCCATGCAAAGGCACTGGTCTCAGAGAAGGTGGGGACATAGCACAGTCACTGGCTTGGGACAGCACCTTCTGTGGCTTTGGGACGAGGCAGAAGTCATGAGATGCTCTAGAGCATCTGGCTGTGCTGTGGAGAGATGTGAATTCTTCAGCAGAGGTCCCAAGCCTACAGGAATAAGGGTCCCCCAACAGTGGGGTGTCAAGTGGGAGAGCCAGGGATTAAATAAACAAAAGCAGTACCTGAAGCCAGGAGGTCTTGGCATAAGCTGATGTCTTAAGCCAGGCATGTTTATTAAGAACTCCAACTTTATGCACACTGTTTGCAGACAAAGCTGGCAGAGAGAGAGGGACGCTTCAGAAACGGCTGTCCTGGGACAGATAACCACAGCCCAGGGTTAGGAAGAATCGCTACCCAGGAACGGCAAGCAGCCTTGCCTCCGACATCAGACCAGCCTTGCTTGGACTGAAGCTCCCTTTGTCCTTTCATCAGGGCCTCTGAGAAAGTCCTGGGTCTGACCCAAGACTTTCTCACTCAGGGATACCCACACACAGACACATACACAGATAAACAGTAAGTTTTAAATGAATAGCAACAGGCCGTGTTGGGGAAACATATCTCGCAGTGGTACCGTATGCTTTGAAAGTTCATTCTCCCAGCTCAAGGGCTCAGGCACAAGCGCTACCTCAGAAGCCGCTTGTCCAAGGTGAGGGCTCTCCTGCGGCTCACTGATGCACAAGCCAGAACTTGTGGCAAGGCCCTTGTTGGGAGGAAGGGGGCAGCCTCTGCTCTGTTTGTGATGCTGTTTTGGAAATCTTCTTTTCCTGCTGCAAACAGGGCCTAAGTTTAGGAGAGATGGCACAGGAGGGAGTCTGGGGATAGACTTGACATTTAGGAGGACCAAGGCTTTGCCCTCCCTTGCTTGTGTGAGTTTCTTGTGAGTCTCTTGTGCTGGGGCTGGTGTTGTGGTGGGTGAAGTGCCTGACTTTCAAGCGTGAAGGACCTGAGTTTTAATCCCTGGCACCCACTTAGAATCCAGGACTGGCAGTGTCTATAGCCGGCTGCTGGCATGTAGAGGCAGGGCTGCAGACACCTGTAGGCCTTTCCACCTGATCTGTGAGGTCCAGATATAAGAGGGACCTTGTCTCGAGAGATAAGATGGAGAGTAAAGGGGGGGATGGACACTCCGTGTTGATCTCTGACCAATACACACACACACACACACAGGCAAGTACACTAGTCCATATGTATGCAAACACATGTGTACACCACAAACACAGATGTACCATATAAACAGACACATTAAATGCACGCACACACACACACACACACACATGCACAAGACACCACAGAAGAGTCTGTCATCCGTCTCCACACAGGCCTTTGATGACGTGTTTTATGGAGCACTCCCCTTTGGCCACAGATGCTTATAAAGGCCAGCAGGATCTTGCATAACCCATGTAGAGAGAATTTTAAAGTTCCCCATGCATTTCCTTTGGTGGTGGGGGAACTGTGGGTGGTGTGCCTCATGTCCCGTGTGACCCACACTTCTCCTCCTGGGGAGCTGCTGAAGTTTTGTTGACCCCTTGTGTCTCTTGCCTCTGCGGAGCAGCAGTACAACATTCACATAATTGACACGAACCAGCCGCTCTTGGTGAGCTGGGGCAGGTGGAAGAAGGGCCAGACGTCTACACCTCGTGAGCCTGTGTTCCTGGTCCCTCAGCTGTGCTACCTGACAGGTATGGCCTCTGTGTCTCTGGATACCATTATCAACCCTCTTTAAGCATCAGATTTAACCGCAAAGTGGAAGCCCTGGCATTCCACATAATTTTGACTTGTAACTGCATCCTCTGGGGTGGTTGGCTATTCTGTCCCTAGATACCAGCCTTCTGTCATCTCTGGGACCAGCTGAGCCTCACTTGCAGGCTGTAACTTCTGCTGTCTTTTCCCAAAAGGTATAGTGACTGAGGTAGCTAAGAACCATAGCCTTATGGCGCTGTTGACTGACCAAATGAGGATGAACCCGATGAATAGGAGGAACACACTGAACAAGTTTATGAATGGCATCCAGACGTAAGTACCTTCTTTGGTTGCTGCGTGTGAGCCTGTATGTGGCATTTTCCTCGGGTTGAGACCTGTGTGTAGCCTTCTGGCACCTGTGATTCTTCTACTAAAGATGATGATGACTGTGAGCCGGAATGGAAACTCGGGTTTTTAGTCCAGCATTCTGGAGACTGAGATGGGACTTACAAACTTGTGCCCAGCTTGGGCAGCGTGGAGAGACTCTGCCTCAAAACAACTGGAGAGACAGCTCAGATGGTAAGGTGCCTGCTGTGCAAGCACAGGGACCTTATATCCTATGTGAAAAGCCAGGCATAGTGGCACATACCTGTAGCCTCAGTGCTGGGGGACATGGACAGGTGAGTCCCAAGGGCTTGCTGGCCAGCCAGTCTATTTCAAGTGAGGTCCAGGCTCAGGGGGAAGATCCTGCCTCAAAAATAAGAGAGAGCCACAGGGAAAAACCTCCAGTGTTCTAGAATCTACATAGGTGAGCACTCATGCATATGCATGCATGTAACACCTAACAGTGATTACAGACTTGGTCATTTGTAGGTAGAACACCGCTATCTTTCTGACAACTCAACTGTTAGCTTTGGATGAGGGAGAGACTGTGACCTGGAAAAGGTGACATCGTACTGGAGTTCAGGGACTTTGCCTGCAGCATTTTATTGTAGAGGAAGACCTTGAACTCAAGGGAAACTACCCACATTATTTTGTTGCTTGGTAGGAATACTATTGTGATCTTTTTCTTTCAGAAATCCAAACGTACAAGACGAGTTCCTGCCGTGGAGTATGAAGTTTGATGACAACTGTCTGTCTGTGCCAGGAAGAATTCTGAACACAGTACGACTTTTCCAGGATAAGGGATCGGTAAGCCAGGTTAAAGTTGGCTTCAGCTCAAGACACCGAGAGTACAATTGGTCACATTAATAACCATGACTATTGCTTTTTACCACTGCCCTCTTTAAAGAGAGGATGGACATTCAGTAAGAGCATATATGCGCCAAAATGAGCTCTGAACTGCATCTTTAAAGAACTGTGGGCATTGCTGCTGGGAATCTAAGTTCATGTGTTTGGGCTGCTCCCTGGGCCAGGAGGGCTTCCCAGAGCCCCAGAGCATCAGTGTAGGGTCAGAAGGGCTAGCATGTCAGGATGGAAGCTGAACAAAGGAAATAGGTTTGATTGGCTAGAGTGGGAAGGCGCAAGAGATGGGTTGGCGCCTGTCTCATCTGCCTGTCTCCACCAGGCTTTGGCTTGTCTATGTAGGAGACTAGGGTCATCTGGTACTGATAGGTGCAAGGAAACACTTGCTACCTGAGTTAGAGGCCCAGTTTCCCTCACCTGCATCTTAAATACCAAATCCACTCCATATTTGAGATGGGAATCATGAGGTGGAGTCAGGGAATCTTACAGCTCAATGGCAGCATTGACCCATGCTTTCACAAGGAAAAACAGAAAATGGACATGCTAAGGTGTTGGTAGGAAACAGCAAGGTTACACAGCAGGAAGGAACCAGATGATATCAGTGGGCCATTTTGTTCTCTCTGTCTTACTCCTTTCTAGTATATGGTCAATCCGAAACTACAGAACTGGCTGAACGACTCAAGGAGCATAGCCTTACTTAGACCAAAGCCCTTGAAGCGCTGGGTGGTCCTTCACACCGAGAACTGCTCCAAGGAGGCCAACCTGCTAGTGAGCAAACTCAGGGCAGTCACAGACACCATGCATATAACGGTGGCGCAGGCAGCCATGTAAGTGGGAACTGGGGTGTGCGCGCTGGTCTGAACCAGTTGGTGACTCTCAGAAGCCGAATTGCCAGAATATTACTTTGTGGGAATCATGTTTTCCTCTTTAGAGCTTTGCTTATTTTTGATCCAAAAAGAAATCTTAGAATAGGTACTTTTAAAAAATGACTTTTATTTGGAAAAGACAAACAATAGTCATTTCATGTGGTTACTTAAAAACTTTTATTTTTGTTGGGTGTCTGTCAATCGCTGGGTACCTGGGAGCACTCCTCTGCTGAGCCTGCTCAGGCTGCTCCATGTCCTCCTCTCTCCTGTCAGTTTACCCCCTCCATTGTTGCAGCCCAGTGGTGACTTCCAAGCTGGTGGTGGTCCCGAGATGTTCTTATTTTGATTTCTTAAGATTTTTTTATTACATTTACTCATTTACTTAGTTTTGGGGCTAGGGGAAGCACACATGCCACGGCATGTGTGTGTGGAGGCTGGAGGTCATCTTGCAGGAGCTGGCTCCCAACTTTTAGCATGAGGAGGGGTGCAGGGACTGAATTCTGACCTTCGGGTTTATCACCAAACACTCGCCACCACCACCCCCTTTTAAAGACTTGTACTAAGTGAGATGCCTACCTTAGCATTTTATGTGTCTGGCTCTCTCTTTCATGCACTGTTGAGGTTTCCCTGGTTGCCACCTTTCTAAAAAGACAGTATGATTGTCTTCCAGGTATAAATTCAAGGAGGGCCCTGGCTCCTTTAGGCAAATGTTACAGAAACATGTTTCAGAAGATACGCAGATGGTGAGTGGCCGAGCCACGTGCAGTCTCCACAGTTCTAAAGTGGCAGCTTGCATGTATTTTTACTTAAACTATGTGTCATGTGTCTGTGTGTGTGTGCGCATGTTAGTGTAGTTACCCATGGAGATCGGAAGAGGGCCTCTGTCTATCGTATGGGTTCATGACTGTGCTTGCATATAAACAAGCATGCTCACACATACAAATTAAATTAATATATATTTTTAGAAATATGGATTCATAGATAGGTCACATGGGAACCAATCTGTTTAACAGACTCTGGAGCTATGTAAGTTATGGGGTGTCCACAACCCCAAGTCTACTTGCTTAGTGATAAACTGAGGTAATAGTATCTATCCCAGTGGTTTACTGTAAGAATTATCGGAGACAAGGAAGGCACATGGCTGGTGCCCTGCACATGGATGGTCTTGTGTGTGGCCAAGGTACCTAAGCCTGGTGGAATGACCCAGCTTCCTTATCCCACCTTGAAATAAAACAAAAATGATGTCATGGTGATTTCTTAGACATTGAATAACCAGAATAAAGGGGTTTGTGACTTTTTATTTTTTTAAAGTCATGGACCCACACAATCAAATTGTTCCATCTTTTTCTTCCCTGTGGCTTCATGGGAGTTGGGGTTGGGATTGGAGGCAGGGGTGTGCTTTGTGCTGTAATTCAAGATGTTCCTCCCACCTAGAGGTGGTGTTGGCTTACTCCACAGCCAACATCTACACCTGGAGATGGTTTTCATTTGCTGTGCTGCTGTGTCGCAGTTAAAATGCCTCTTTGTCTTCCTCGGAGGTGGTGTGTGTGCTGCCCAACAACGACAAGCAGAGATACGAGGAGATAAAAACCTTCCTGTGCATCGAGAACCCCATCCCCAGCCAGTGTGTGGTGGCGTCGACCCTGCGCACTGACAGGAACCTCTTCACCATAGTCACCAAGATCGCCCAGCAGATGAACTGCAAGATGGGAGGAGCGCTCTGGAAGGTGGACACGGGTGTATGTAGAATCCTGTCTCCTTCTGATTGAACACATTTGTAGTGAAACCCAAGTGTCTACCCTTCTCTTGTTTTGTTCTAACCCAACTTACTATCTTTTGTACAAAAACTAAAAATCAAGATGGAGAAGACAATGTTCATTGGAATTGATTGTTTCCATGACATTGTGAACCGGCAGAAGTCGATTGCAGCATTGGTGGCGAGCACCAAGGAAGACTTAACCAGGTGAGGGAGGGAGCCCCAGGGTAGGCCCTGAGTTAGCAGCCTCCAGAAGCCCGTGGGAGGGATGGAACTGGCTCCTCTCTTAGACCAGTGGTTCTCCACCTTCCTGAGGCTGCGACCCTTGAATACAGTTCATGTTGTGGTGACCCCCAACCATAAAATGTTCATTGCCTCTTCTTAACTATAATTTTTCTACTGTAATCATAATGTAAATATCTGATATGCAGGATATCTGATATGTGACCTCTATGAGAGGGTTGTTTAAGCTCCCCCTCAGGGGTCATGACCCCAGGTTGGCAACCACTGCTCTAGACCATCTGGGAAGTTGGGCATTAATTTGTGTTCTTCTAACTTTGTGATGGACTTATCTTCCCCCAGCTTTCCCAGTGTTTGGGTGGATCCCTTTATTTTCTTTACTGTCCACCAGAAACAAAAGTGGTAGCTGTGCCAGGCATGATGGCATACCACCCCCACAGCAGACCAAAGCAGGAGGATAGAAAGTTCAAGGTCAACCTTAACTACTTGACACGATCATGGCTCCAAATAATTTTTTTAAAAAAGCCTGTCAACTGACAGCAAGATCTGTTCCTGTTTGTTTAGGGGTGGGAAACTGGCACCCCATGGCTGATGCCATGCTCTCTAGCCCTTGATTTCAACCCAGTAATGTTCTTTGGCTCTGAGGTGTCATTGTAATTAGAAAATAACATGCTGCTGGAAGGAATAGTGTTTATGCACATGTGTGCATATGTACTTTGTGCACACGCGCATACACACACACACACACACACAGAGGTGCGTGTGGAGGTTGGATGTTGATGTCTTCCTCCAATGCTCTTTTTTTTGCATCAGCATCTCTCACTGAATCTGGAGCTCATTGACTGGAGTGGGTTGGGCTGGTCAATGAACTCCAGGAAACTTCCTGTCTCCACTGCCCCAATATTTAGATTATAAGCAGGTTTTCATCATGCCTGCCTTTTTTATGTGGGTGCTGGGGATCTGAACTTGGGACCCTTGCACTTTCATGGTAAGCATTTGGTCAACTGTACTATCTTGTCAACCCCAGAGTGGGCTGACAGATAAGGCAGTGAGAATGTCAAGCCAGAAAAAGGTGATTCTGTCTTGGGATCTTAATTACTGACCAGATGACTGATGAGAAATGAATCCATCATTTAATGCCCCGGGACCAGATGTGCCCACTCCCGGTAAGGGAGTAGAAGTTAAAAGCCATGGGTGGCTTGAAGGATGCAGAAGTTATCACAGTGGCTGCATTGTCCCACAGCAAGTTAATGTTTTCAAGCTGTTTGTATGTGTTCCACCGCTACCCCTAAAATGCCCAGATCAGCATGCAAAATCCTTCACTGGATCTTGTTTCTGATGGTGACATTGGCCAGGAGGAGGTGGTTGTGGATTATTTCAGAATCCAAATGGCAAAACAAAGTTTGAGACTGATCAATTTCTCTGCAAAACAGGTGGCATTCCCAGTGTCTCTTCCAGGATGCAGGAGAGGAGATTGTCAATGATCTGCACAGCTGCCTGCAAGGTTGGTGCCCAAAAAGACTGTTGAACCAACTCCCTGCTGGCGTTCTCCACAAGTGGACACAAGCTGCTAGTTATGACTGAAAGTGCGTGCGTGTGTGCGTGCGCCAGAAGACAACTGTGGGTGTCATTCCTCAGGCACCACCCACCTTGCTTTTTTTACTGACCTGGAGTTCGTGGTTAGGTTAGGCTGGCTGGCTAGGGATATCCAGGGAATCATCCCATCTCCATCTTCCTAGCTCTAGGATTTACAAGCATACCCCATCATGTCTGACAGTTGTACATGACCTCTGGGGATGGATCAAACTCATGTCCTCAAAGCATTTTTACTGGCTGAGCTATCTCCCTAGCCAGTGTGTGTCAAGGATGGGGAGGGCAAGGGTAAGGGTGAGGTAGGGGTTGGCTCCAGGGAAAGGCCAGCAGCCCACCAGGTGGAGTCTCCCCGCCTTATACCTGTCTGTCTCAAAACTTCAGCCAAGATGAGTGTCGAGAACCCTCAGGCTAGCCTGAGGCTGTAGATGATGAAGTTCCAGGAAGCTAAGGCACTTGAAAGGTCAATCTAAAAGTTGTTAGAGAAGCAGAAGTCAACCCTCCTGCTCAGTGTGTTTACCGGCTTTCTCCCACTCCTGTTCAGCTGCCCTGGATTCCTGGGTCACAAATGAGAAAAAGAAACCACAGACTGTGGTGGTTTATAGGGATGGAGTTGGGGATGGCCAGCTACAGGACCTGCTGGGAGAGGAGGTTCGGCAGTTCCAGAAGTTCTTTGGTTCTAGGTGGGTGTGAACCCCGGTGAGTAGATGGTGGTGGCCTCTGTACTTTAGACTCGGAGAAAAATCTGTTCTGCAACCAGCACAGTGAAAAGAACCTGGTGCAGACACAGGTTTAGTGCAGAAAACATGGCCCCTCATGTTTTTAACTTTCCTCCTGGAGCCAGAAGATTGTGTGTCTCCTCTGAGAATTTTTTTCCCTATTGCCTTTCATGTCCTGGTCATCAGACATTGTCTCCTCCTCCAGTAACCTCTTCCCTTCTCATTCTTTTCCCTTTTCTTCCTCCCTCTCCCCCTCCCCCTTCTCCTTCTCCCCCCTCCTCATCTTCCTCCTCCTGTGGTTTTCCTCTTCCTCTTGCAGTACTAGGCCCTGAACACAAGAGCCTCATATCCACTAGGCAAGCAGCAGGTGTTGAACTTCTGATCCTCCTACCTTGGCCTCCCCCGCAGGTGGGACCCCAGGCCTCCACCACCATGCCTGGTTTCTGTTCCAGTGTTGGGGCATTTGTTCCTTTTAGAGATCATAGATGTCCATGCATAGTCACTTCCTTCTTCTGCTAAAGTCTCTGATCTAGACAGCCTGTCCTGCTGTGTTCTCTGTCCACATCCATGAGGCCTGTTGTCTGGGATAACTGCAAAATGCCCCTGAGGTTCTGTGGGAGGAAACTTTCCCCTCTGATGTGGGGGACTGAGTAGATATTGCTGCCTGGGTGGGGGCCAGACTATGTGGAGTGGCCCCCCACCACCTTGGGTTCCCTCTGATCCTACCTGAGCATATGATGTCCCCCCCCACATCTGCTCTGAGGGGAGGCTGATTTATAGAATGGCACTTTTGTCCTCTTTTCAAAGCATCAAACTAACGTTCATCGTGGTGAAGAAACGGATCAATACCAGGTTTTTTGTTGAACATAATAAAAAAGTCATGAATCCACCTCCGGGGACTGTTGTTGACCAAGTGGTGACCAGGGAGGAGTGGTAAGCCAGCTCTCCATTGCTTCGGCAGAATCACCCAAGTTTTCAGTTGGCAGCTGCGGCAGCTGCCCCTGTCCCTGCCCCATGCTGATTTCTGATGTCTTTGAACAAGTAGTCTGTCTTAGTCAGGGTCACTGTTGCTCTGGTGAAACCCCATGACCAACCCCATGACAAGTTGGGGAGGAAAAGGGTAATTTAACTTACACTTTCACATTGCTGTTCATCACCAAAAGGAAGTCAGGACAGGAACTCAAGCAGGGCAGGAACCTGGAGGCAGCAAGGCAGCTGTGTGTCGTGTGTGTGTGTGTGTGTGTGTGTGTGTGTGTCTGTCTGTCTGTCTGTCTGTGTGTCGTGTGTGTGTCTGTCTGTCTGTCTCTGTGTCGTGTGTGTCTGTCTGTCTGTGTGTCGTGTGTGTCTGTCTGTCTGTGCGTCATCTGTGTGTGTGTCTGTCTGTGTGTGTGTCTGTCTGTGTGTGTGTCTGTCTGTGTGTGTGTCTGTCTGTGTGTGTCTGTCTGTGTGTGTGTGTCTGTCTGTTTGTGTGTGTCTGTCTGTTTGTGTGTGTCTGTCTGTTGTGTGTGTCTGTCTGTTGTGTGTGTCTGTCTGTTGTGTGTGTCTGTCTGTTGTGTGTGTCTGTCTGTTGTGTGTGTCTGTCTGTTGTGTGTGTCTGTCTGTTGTGTGTGTCTGTCTGTTGTGTGCGTGTCGTGTGTGCGTGTCGTGTGTGCGTGTCGTGTGTGCGTGTCGTGTGTGCGTGTCGTGTGTGCGTGTCGTGTGTGCGTGTCGTGTGTGCGTGTCGTGTGTGCGTGTCGTGTGTGCGTGTCGTGTGTGCGTGTCGTGTGTGCGTGTCGTGTGTGCGTGTCGTGTGTGCGTGTCGTGTGTGCGTGTCGTGTGTGCGTGTCGTGTGTGCGTGTCGTGTGTGCGTGTCGTGTGTGCGTGTCGTGTGTGCGTGTCGTGTGTGCGTGTCGTGTGTGCGTGTGTGTGTGTGCATGCATGCCTGGCTGCATGCGTGCGTCTGTCTGTGTCTCTCTCCCTCTCTGTGGGCAGGCTTTGAGCGGAGGCTATGGAGGAGCGCTGCTTACTGTCTTGCCTGCACACTAACTTGGTGGGCAAACTTTCTCAGTTTACATCCTCTCTTCCCGAGCAGTTAGACTGACATAAAACCTAAGCCAGCTCAGTCCTCCTCCTCAATCATTGTTTGAGACTGTGTCTCACTGAATCTGGCTGTCCAGAAAGCCCCAGGGATCCTCTTGTCTCCATTTCAATGTGTGCTGTGCACCCAGGGTTTTTTGTTTTGCTTTGCTTTTTAATATGTGTGCTGTGGACCTGCCCTGGGTCCAAATCCTTTCAAAGCAGGCATTTTATCAACTGATTTGTGAGAATCCCATGGGCATTACTGTGTCAATAGCTTATCCGTCCTCTTCACGGGTTTCTTTATCAAATTGTGTTTTCACCAGATACATGGGTTTCTAAGCTTAAAGGCAGCTCACCCATAAGGGGACTCCCTCACGTTGGTAGCTGAATGGTTTAGTTTCCCATCCCAGTAAGCTGATGTCCATCCACATACTCTCTTCTCTCAGGTATGACTTTTATATAGTGAGTCAGTCTTCAAACAGTGGAACTGTCATGCCCACTCACTATAACGTCATCTATGATACCAAAGGCCTGACTCCCAACCAGGTCCAGTGCTTAACCTACAGACTCTGCCACATGTACTACAATTTGCCGGTGAGCCCCATGCATGTTTAAACTTTGGTTTCCCTTCGTTCTTTAAAACCAAGCAATTTTGAGGCTTCCAGATTGACACCTGTGAAAATGTCAACTTGGGGAAAGCCCCTGCAATGTTTGAGTTGATAGAAGGTTCAGCCAAAGTCTTTTCTGCTTCCTTCCTCCCAAAGGGTGTCATCCGAGTCCCCGCTCCATGCCACTATGCACACAAGCTGGCTTACTTCGTGGGGAAGAACATCCACCAGAAGCCAGCGCCAGCGCTGTCAGACTATCTCTATTACCTTTAAGCCACACAGAAAGTGGTAATGTTGAAACCCACAGCCAACTCATTTTTTTCTTATATTTTTCCTTTCCAAGCTGGGTGCCTTTCCCCCCCTACAGTTTATTTTTGCCCCCCCATTTGAAATAGAAAACGTGTCAGGTTGTGTTGGCATTGTGACATTTGTAACTGGATAGGAATAGCCTTGTGAGTTAGGTAATTGAGATTCTGTTGCTAGCCCTTTGGTGAGGACTTGAAGGGCATTGTGGGGGGAGTCATAAAAAATCCTGATTTAAAAGTCAGCAGCTTAGGGACACATAAGCGTTTCCCCATTATTCCCATAAAGAAAACCAAGAACGCACTCAGCCTTTCTGTCTCCTGGGGACAGAGGCTCCCCAGTCAAACTGTCTCTAAATGACTCCAAAGTTTTCTATAGATAAACTTTTGTTTTCTTATAGTCTTTTGTTTGTTTGCTTGTTTTTAGGAGTTAGGAGCAGGGATTAACTTCGATTACACACCCGAAAAGGGTGGGTGGGTTGGCAAAATTTGTGTTGAGGGTGCAGCTTTTCAATCTGTCTTGTAAGAAATAAAGCTATTCACTTGTGAAAATAAATTGAGAGGGGCTTCTGCCCCAAGTGACACACAAGATAGCTCTGCCTGTGCAGTCAACACCGAGACACTTTTGGGTACACGGGCATCTGATGATCATTGGTGCCAGAGCCCTTATATCTATAAATGTATACACACGTATATGCACACACACACTTGTGATACATGACACTGTATGCAGATAAGAGGGACAGACTAAAAATAGGCTTCTGGGCAAACTTCCCTTTCTGAAGACTGATTTTTGGCTTGATACTTTGCTAGAGAGGTAAAAATTGCTTAGAAGACAAAAGTCACATGTAAAATCTTCCTGAATGTTCCTCGCAAGCACAGTGTGTGCAAATGTCATCTATTCCCCCAACTGACTGTTCAGTAAAGGCATGCATGCAAACATGGTGGCTTTTATTGTGGTGATTGTCAGCTCTGTCGATCTGATGAGAGAAACCCTTGCCTCACTGAGGTAAACGGGAATGCTGCTGTATTGAAGGGGCTGCCTCGTGGCATTGGCACACTTGTCTTCACAAAGTGGCAACTGGCATCCAGTTTCCCTGAGACAGCTTTGCTGTCCCCAGGCAGGGCTTGTGGACCCAGCACTCCGTGGCATCTCGGCTTCACTCCCTGGGTTTATGGAGCAGATACCCAGGGTGCCGATTCAAGGTCTGTCGGGAACTCGTGCGTAAGGTGATGTGACCCAACAGTGACTGGTTCTGGATACATTTGGCTGCCTCACCAGATCTGTGGGGTTTGTTCCTGTGGCTCACCTGGTCTTAGATTGACATTGTAAAAATATTTGTCTGAGCCCAGTAAGATGGCTCAGTGGGTGAAGGGGTTTGCAGCCAAAACTGACACCTGGGTTCGATCCCCAGGGACCTTGGTGCAAGGAGAGAATCAACTCCCACACATTGTCCTTCAACCTCCAATGTTTTATACGAATGATTATTCTCAGGCTTCCAGAATCTTCCCTCTGCCTCGTGAGTTGTTCAGTAAGTGCCAAAGCCTTGTCAAAACTGGTCATCTGGATTTCTCTCATATGGTTGGATTAGTCTGTTAAGGTCAAACTGTGGCACATTCACACACATGTGCGTGCACGCTGTTGAAAGGGTTGTGTATGTGTATGTACTGAACATGTACAAACTCATTCCCTGAGCAGACAGGATAGCACCTACTTATGCTGCACTGGGTGTCATGTTAAACCATAAGGCTAGAGGGAGGGGTTCATAAGTGATGTAGTTATGCTGCCTTGAATATGATACCTTTTGTGTGACTCTTACTGAGCATAGCTAACATGCTAGATAGACAAGGTAAAACAAGATAGCTTTGAGTGTGAGAGGCACAATCTGAGATGCTTGGACCCGTGTGTGGTGGGAGGAGAACCAGAAACGTGACCCTGGTGTTTGGGTTTGCTTTTCTGAGGCTGCAAATGCCCCATGAGGCAGTTGAAAAAACAGAGATTGGACCCATGCACCTACCTTTTGAAACAATTTGCATCAAGGAGACCTGGAGCCCAGTGTCTCTCCTGGGGCAGGATTGACTTGCAAGTGGGGTGCAGAGCTTGCACCTCATCTCGCAGGGTGCTTGAGGCAGACCAGAGCTGCCACATTAATACCCTGTCCCCACCAAGTGTCTCTCTCTGTAGGGCAATGGCATCCCTGACAGTGATCCCTTCTAACATTTGTCAAAAACACTATAATACTTAATCTAAATCAACCAGATATGAGAGGGGCAGCCCACAGGGCAGAGGGAAACGGGCTATAACTGTGTGAGCTGGCCAGGGCCATTCCAAGTGGCAAAGCTCAAAAGAATTGCAAGAGGAGATGGTAGAAAAGGACTAACTTTGGATTTCTATGCTTTATCTTATTGGGGGTGCACACGCGCCCACTTGTGTGGAGGCCAGGGAGCAGCACTGAGTCTCTTCACACGTCTCTCGCTGAACCTGGAGCTCCTGTCTTTCACTTAGGGTTGTGACCAAAGAGCCTCAGCGATCCTCCTGTCCCCACTTGGCTCAGTTCTGGAGTCACAAGAATGAGACCATGACCAGCCTGTCATGGGAGTGCCAGCCTCGGTCTTCCTGTGGCACAGCAAGCACCCCCTCTGTGCTGCTTCTCCAGCCCCTAACACGGGAATACAACCCCCAAAAGCCAGTATTTTGGAGGGAGGTTGATGCACTGGCCACAAAGGAAAGAGCTGGAGAACGGGAAGAGGCAACGTGAAGGAGAGGGAGGAACAAGAGACCACAGGCTAGGAGATGGGACTCTTGATTTTGTGTCTGTTCAGTCACTAGAGACTGTGGTTCTCTCTGAAATGGTGGCTGTAAAGAACTGGCTAAAACTGACATTTTAAGAAGGAATTATATAGCCGGGAGGTGGTGGCACACACTCTTAAACCCAGCAATCAGAAGGCAGAGTTCAAGGCCAGCCTGGTCTACAGAGTGAGTTCCAGGACAACCAGGGCTACATAGGGAAACCCTGTCTCACAAATAAAAACAAAACTGCAAATGGAAGACTGGTAGAGATGGTGTCCCATGCCTGAACTCATGCTCTGTGTGGGACAGGAGCAATGCCAGCTTTGTCATGGTAGACTCATGGTCTCTGCCTCCTTGGTCCTATGGAATCCCACTCTTCTTGACTGCTTGGCATCCCCCTTTGATGAGCCAGCACCCTCGGGAAGAGGCAGCGCACCTTTATACACCACCGACTACTGCCAACCAACCCTGCTTGCCTCATGCATTGATGGTGGCTACCCACTCCTGCTCAATGCTGGGTTAAGTTCTTCATTAAATATGGTGCTAACAAAAGTACAGTGTGGACTATTCTGATATCTACAATACATTCTGGTTACTTGTCCTCTTCCTCTTCTGCCTTGCCAACTTGTCACCTACAAAATCTCTTTTCCATTTGCCAGTCTTTGTTTAGTGTTCTGTAGAGTTTATCTGGGGGCCGTCTGTGTGACCCCAGGATTTGGAACTAACCATCAAACCCCTTTGTGCTTGCTCCCCAGTGCTGTGCCCCTCCCCCATTCTCTCCCAGGATCTGTTGCCAAAAGATCAGTTCTTCGAGGAAGGGCCCTGTGAGCCCCTGCCCCACCCACTCAGCTGGTTATGAGGGGGCAATGTGCAGATAGAGCTGCTGCTGTCATGGACATTTGAACAAAGGACGGGACACTGAGGCTGAGCTTCCAGGAGTCAGTTTATTGCCTGCAGCACCTTAGGCTTCCAGATGCTATGGGGTTAAGGCTTTCATACATTTTAGCTTCTTTGTTTCCCACATATGTTTACATACAGCCTTGACTGGTGCTCTAAACTTCTGGGCATTAATTGTTAACTGGCTGGGAGAGGATGGGAGGGATGGCCTGCAGGAGAGAGGCGTTTGGAGTGGCACAGACACCCAAGGACACGAAGGGACCAGCCTGCACAGGCAGTTGTTTGCTGCTGACCACCTACCCCGTGGCCCCTTGGCTCTAAAGGCTCCTCCTAGCACACTGTGAGCCGTGTTGTACATAGAAGACATTTCACAGCCCCTCTCTCTGTCTTCTGGCACTTACATTCTTTCCAACCCAGAAAGGGAGCACCCCACAGTGCATGGATCCCTTCTGAGATTGCCTACAGCCTGATCTTGAGGCATTTTCTCAATTGAGGCTCCCTCCTCTCAGATGACTCTAGTTTGTGTCAAGCTGACAGAAAACCAGTGAGAACACATACTATCAATTAGCCCAATTAAAAAAAAACATTTTGAAGGCAGGACATCCTTCAAGATTAGACAATGACAATCCCAGAGGCAACAAAAGAGTCACTAACAAAAGCCTCATGCCAGGTGAGGAAGGCTCCTCTTAGGAGTTGTCAGTCAAGGAAGCCCCCAAACTTTACAGGCTCTTGCCATTTCTCCTGATGCTCTTCAGAACTCACTGACAAGACCCTGTTGCTGAAGTCACCACACAACATGGGTGCAATATACACAGAAATCAACAAGGAACTGACACACGAGCTTCCTTTCCACTGGCTAGCTTGTTAAGTGCCAGGTGCCCCTCACTGTGAAGGCCACTAGGTACAGGGAGCCTAGGCATCACCGGTCCTGCCCAGCTGTGAATGAGTTATAATACCAATCTCCAGGCAAGTTGTGCCCATCTGTGTAATAGTGGCACCACCGTTATGGAGGTAGCCAGCGGCTGACTCCCTGAGGCCTTATTATTTTCCCCCAGTACTGAAGATCAAATCTATGCCCTTTTATAATAAGGTCCTTGCTATGCAAATACTCCCGATGAGCTACAACCCCAGGCAGGGTCTCACTAAGTTACTCTGGTGGACCTTGGTTGAACCCATTCTGTAGCCCGGGGAAGGCCTCTGCTTCCCAAGAAGCTGGGATTCCAGGTGTGCTCCAATACATGCTGCTACTATGGAGGGATCTTTTATTATTATTATCATTATTATCATGAGTTGGTGTTGAATTCCATCAAATACTTTTTCTGCATCTACTGAAATGACTGTGATGTTATCTCCATCGTCTATTAGTAGGAACGGCTGTCAGTTTCCTATGATTGGTAAAACACCACAGGCTTCTTTTCTGCTCATGTTGAAATTGGTGCCTTGCAGAGTCTGTAAGCTAGAGGTTGGGCATGGGCCCCCAACAGCATAATTCTACCATGACTATCATGGCTGGAGCTTTTGATTTGGGAGACTTTGCAGTCACACCACACACACACACACACACACACATCAGGGAAGCTGGGAAAGCAGGGAGAAGGCTGAGTCCTGTTAACACTGGTGCCTGAGGAGACCGACAGGACCTTGGGGCTGCACTAGTTTGACTTCTGGCCCCACAGCTCTCCGATGGAATCCCATTGGGCCGGGGATTGGATCGTGGGAAGGTTGTGGCCCGCTGGGGACATGCAGGTGCATCTCCACTCCATCTTGCCTCAAGGTCAGAGAATTCAAAACTGTCTTCAGTTTTGACCTAAAGGTCAAAGGTGTGGCTGCAGTAGGATGTTCGATCTTGGCCTTGGCTGTCTTATCCAAATAACAACAGACCTGGTCTGAGGTGTGGTTACTCCTGACCCTCAAGGCCAGGTAATGAGAAGTTGAATCTAGGTTGATCTAAGGTGAATCCTTGGAGAAATGAGGAAGAAAAGTCTGTTAGTTCCCTATACCTGATGCCATGTTCCCCTTTTTGGTTAAGGTATCTAAGAATGGTGAAGCATCGGCTCAGGGCACATCGGTAGTAACTGAGTCTGGCCTCCTGGCAGCTATTCCCCTTTAACTCCTTTAGCTAGCCCCCTCTCAGGAATGAACCATGGGCTGGCTCCCACTGCAGCCCCACAAACACAGCTTCCCACACTCCACCACACCTGGGACAGAAGGCGACACTCCCAAGCAGCTGGATTCAAAGGAGATGGCTGCAG